AAATAGCCAAGTTGACAGCAGAAAAAAAGGTGTTTACAGCCTGATACAAAGAACGATTTTGATTCATATAGCTATTACCCTTCATGACAACTGTGAGGGGCTGAATTTTTTTTTGGAACTCGTTCGTTTCGTTTATTTTAAGTTATATTAAGCCTGCATAATTAGGGACGAGGCCACTTGAGTGACAGCTAGGTCTCACTGGTCGCCGTCACTTCACCTCAGCTGATTCCAGCTGATTAGCCACTGAGCTCGGCATATAAATCGTATTTTGTTTAGTTTAATGTGACTATACACAGCCAATTGCTATTTGGAATTATTTCTTACAATTATCAGATGACATGGCATGCTGTGTGCACTTTATTGTGCTCACGAACCATTCACGTGGCCTCCATTTCCCAGGTGAGTGAAATGATATACTTAAACCATATCTATAAATATATTTGTTTTATTTAAGATCATTTATTATTATTATTAGTCTATTAGACTATTACATATTTGGACATAATTTGCGTTTTCCTCCTGTAGAAAAATGTCATAAGAACAATGCTTAGTGGCTTAAAGTATTACAACTAGGGCTGGGCGATTATTTCGATTTTTACGATTAATTCGAATTTACGTTTAAAGACGATTTCATTTTATATTAAATTGAGGTATTGCAATTTTTTACATACATTATAATTGCACTAATGCGCATTAGTTCACTCTCTGTATTACTCTGCTTGACTGCCAATCTGGGTATTAATCATGGTAGTGACGGACTAAACACAGAGACTGGACATCCTAATTTAACCCAATGCATGAAGTTGTGGGCATGCATCGCAGAGCTGCTGCAAATACAACAAATACAAGCATTTAAGTGTCTTAAGTTGTGTATTTTTCTTTTGTTAATACCTTTGCATCAAACGCGCTTTGGTCTACTCTCTCACCCTACTCCAGCACTGCCTGACGAGGGGATTTACATTCAGAGTAATGCAACAAGTAAAATCCTACATGACTTCACGCTTTACTAAGTCACATCTTTGTGGATTGTCAAGACATATTCCCCTATCAAATCGATAAACTCAATCTCTCAACATGTATGAAGAACAAAAAACCTGCCATGTGAAAAACCGCACCGATCCTAGATCGAATTGCACTGATCTTATTTTGGTTTGAACACAAGCAGAGGTGAGCAGCTGTAGGTAGCAGTGAAAAGTGAAAGTACCCGCCCCCATATCTTTTAGCCTATGCTTTTACACCATGAAATCTTCTCATCCACCACCAGTGTGCAGCATCCACCTAGATGACGCAATGGCAGGTATATTGTGCCAGACCGCACACCACACACCAGCTGATTGGTGGAGAGGGAGACCGTGATGAAGCCAATTTACATATGGGAATGGTTAGGAGGCCATGATGGATGGAGGCCAGTGGCCAAATTTTGCCAAGATGCAGGGACATTCTGGGATTTTTAACGACCACAGAGAGTCAAAATTGGTTTAACATCTTATACAAAAGACTGAGCAATATAGAGCCACTATACTGGGGGCATTAGGACCCCCACAGACCACAGATTGAGCACACCCTGCTGGCTTCACTAACAGCACTTCCGGCAGCTACCTAGCTTTTCCATGTGGTCTCTCATCCAGGTATTGACCGGGTACAGCCCTGCTTAAGCCTGATTTATACTTCTTCGTCAAGTGACCAGCGTTAACCACGGCGCATGCAACGCGTATGGCTGTGCATATATACTTCTGCGCGCTGTCTCTGTTGGTCTGCATTAACACTTCCGAAACGCTAGTTGGCAGTGAGGTGTAAATGTTCCTCTGTGTCGAGTTTCTTCGCTGCTTTTTTTGCTTTTCCTGAACACTTCCAGGATGTACAAGTGGCTCAAACTCGATCATTTTGAGGCAGGAACCGGCGGACGTGCAACAACTTTAACTATGAAGTAAACACAAAACAAAACTTTCCATCCGGAGCTCCTTCACGGGACTGCACACTTGTAAACAATAGCTCCATCGGGGTCGCGCCATTCACGCGGCTCTCGGTCCCGTAGCATACGCCGGCGTTTGACGCAGAAGTATAGATCAGCCTTTAGCCTCAGTGGGCGCCCATGTGAGAGTTGCAGAGGGTTAGCTGCCGGTGAATAATTGTCACCAAAAATCACAGTTTATTGAAATTTCTACAAAACCTTCCACTTGTACTAAGGAAATTTAAAAAAACAAATAACGTGATAGGAAAGTCAGTTTGTAAAGCTTGAACCACAACACTCCAGCATTATTGGTCTAATATGTAGTTATATGTAATAGAATGTTGTATTCATTTAATTTCAAGTGTATGGTGCTCTAGGGTTGGGCCGATAGACAATGCCATCGTCCATCGCCGATGGCTGACAGACACCACGATGCTGAGCCGGCATCGCGATCCTCCGCCCTACCCCCATTGCAAATCCGCTGACGAAAAATACACACTCAGGCTCTGTTTACACTAATAGGTCTTATTTTTTTTAAATGGCATTTTAGAATGAAAACGATCCACATCCACTCTGGCGTTTCACCTAGCATTTTTGAGCAGCCCTCCTTCCACACTACTGCTTAAAACGCACATCACGTGACCACACGCACAGGCACAGACACACACACACTGTCATGCGCTTGAGACAGTGGGTCCAGGCAGTCAGCGGGTCAGTAGACTGGTTAAATCTTTCACTTTCACGCTTATAAAAACCTCAGATTCTGTTGGCTGGTTCCTGTTGGTTGTGCAGCTTTTTTACCAATCAAGTTTGCTAACACCTATGTAATGACACAGATCACGAGTCCCGCGGAAAAAGTGATTGACTGGTGGTAGTTATGTGTGTAACTTATCTTTATTCATTTATGATTTGGTTATGGGTAAAACAAAGATCATACGGGTCAGGTAAATAAAACGGTAGGCTAAAAATAATTAATTAGTTCATTAATTATTCATAATTAATTCACTGGCTAAGACGACGATGCCATCGTCCATCGCGATGTTTCATATTAGACATCATACAATGCCAAATTGGTTGACATCGCCCAACCCCATGGTGCACACTGTTCAGAATATTATTGAATGCTATTCAGAGCTGAAACTTGATGCACAAATTAAACAAAAACTGCAATATCAAACAATTTTTGTTATTCTGGTTGAAATTCTTTTCACATCCTGAGAGCAATCATTAAATTAAGCGGTCCAAAAGTATCTGAATGTATTTTAATATTCTGTGGAAAGTCTAGGACTACGAAAGGTTCATGCAATCAAAACAATCAGTCTGAACATTACATTACATTCAGTCCTACCTGCCTGTCAGATATGTAATTGCATATATCTGTGCACCTTGTTCGTGCAGAAACTATTACGTCATGGACATGGTTCAGACGGAGAGTAGCAGGCAAACATCAACACCGCTGGTGGATGTTACGTGATGTTGTCTAGAGCTTATTTAAATGTGCAGGAGGTGTGGCTTTGGATGGCAATATGCAGGAAGGTTGTGATGTAGGCCTTTTATTGCTATCAGGCTAACTTTAGCACTTTTTAAGATTTCCTATCACGCCTTTTAATATTTCCCCAGAATCACACAAGCCTACCTAGGACTATTGGTGGAAGTACTTACATTTCGATGTGTTTGGAACTAGGTTTACTGGTGCCTTTGTCTGTGCTATTGTGTTTTTGTTTCTCAGCCTTGGTGATATGTAGCTCTACAAGTTGTAAAGGAGATTTCGTCACCCTTTTTCCTCTTTCAGTGGCATAACTGATAACGTATGTCTACGTACGTTTATCAGTAAACGCATGACACACTATAAAAACACAGCTTTGTTCATGATGTCCTCCATCCTCCAGCTGTTGATTGAGTTGAATAGAGTAGTTGATGGTTAACATCATTTCACACTTCATGCTGACAGTGAGAATGCCACAAGGAACTAGGGAACTAAGCCTTTTTAATTCCTATGCCTGGGTTTCTGTAACTACCTGCCACTAAAACTCCCAAGTATGCAGTTTCTACAAGACCTCTGCAGATTTCTGCTGAGGGGAACCCCAGAAACCATTGCATGGCCTATGGCTGAGGTTTAGGGATTAGAGGTTGGTATTTTTATGAGGAAATTACACTGGGATTGACATGGCCAATGTTGGTTGGAATTTCCACTCTACTGGTTTCAAGGAGAGTCATCAAAATACCACAATTGAAATTTCACTGTGCTCCAAACTATTGCATGATCTCTGAAGCCCTGGAGCACAAACCTTAAGGACTTGTTTAGAATTTTTTTCCCCATCTTTTTTTGCAGCTTGAAAGATTCTGGCCTCATTCATTGCAAAGAGAAGCCACCACCACATTCTTCAAAAGACCTGCTTTTGTGTTCCACTCAAGAATGAAAGCCATACGGGTTTGAAATGACATGAGGGTGCGTAAAGATGCCAGAATTTTCTTTTTTGGGTGAACTATCCCTTTAATCATCGCGCACAGCCGTGTGGCAAGCGTTGAAAGGAATTGATGCCGCATTAGGAACTTCTCCAGAGTTATACGGGCTTTCTTCCAGTGAAATAATCCCAACACATTCAGCTCCGGAAGAATGCGTAGATTGGACCGATATGAGAGTTGAAGGGCCGGCTGTGCCTCTAGGCCTGTTTGTGCTTCGCTTTAATGGGAATTAGACTATAGGGAGCTGTGGATGTGGGCAGACTCGCTGGCGATGGCTGACTGTGTAATAATAACACCAGTTCACTACAGATAGAGTTAAAGATATCATCATGACGAATGGAGTCACTCGGCCACGGCGAGTTTGAGGGGAGATTGAGGTGGGGGGGTATTTTCTTTCCCTGTTATTATTGTAGATACTTTCTATTTGATGCTTCGTAAGAAAGAGAGGTTTGTGCTTGGTTTGTTTTGGCAGTCGCTATTTTGGTTTCTACCAAAAAAAAAAGTTTGAGTGCTGCCATTATGTGATGTCATCTTCTGTGCATTTCCATTTGCCAACTCAATGAAATCTTTGTTCCCATGACAGCCTCCTGTTGCTCCGCCCACCCTCCCCATGGCCCCGCCCAGCCCGAGCACCAATAGCAGCACCAACAACAGCAGCAGCAGCAGCAGCACGACCGGCTGGGAGCAGCTCAGCAAAACAAACCTCTACATCCGCGGGTTACCGCCGGGAACCACAGATCACGACCTGGTCAAACTCTGCCAGCCGTGAGTATTTGCAGTTATGTCATGACAGTCTACCAGTGATGTCTGGATATGGGTAAATGACTACTTTTTTTTTGTAAAACACCATTTTTGAAGAAAACAATAGTTTTATTTATGAAGTCTGGTGTTTGAGAACATTTTAAGGGGTCACTAACTTGATTGTTTTTATTTTTTTTAATTTTTACTGAACTGTTCCATAAAAGTGTATGGTGTCATAGCGAAATTAACTCCTGATAATTTGCAAATGGGATGATAGCGATTTATCTTCATTGGTGGACACTTATCCTCATATACTGCTAAATGTTTTATATGAAATTATGAATAATGTTTTTTTTTTTCTCAATGACTTGTCTGACTTATTAGGCATTTTCTATAAATGGGGGTGCCACACCAAAGAACAACAAAATGTAACAATTTAATAGTGTTTCCTAAAAACTATGTAAAAATATTTGAGACAAAATCTTGGGCCTCAGTCACTTTATCTTGAATGGAGTTCTTTAAGTAATTAAATTGTTCTATGGAATTGCCTGATTGAAATTAGCATACAGTCAGGGGCGAACTGGCCATCTGGCAGACCGGGCAGTTTCCCACTGGGCCGATGCATTTTTGGGCCAGGCTGATCATCTTCTTATGATCTGATCGCCCATAAAAAGCCTAGCAGCCTATCGTTTTTTTTTTTTTTTTTTAAGCCTAATTAATTGACTATACTGTGATCTGTGACTCTCTGAAAGTAAGAGTTTTTTTTCAGACAGACTGGCCCACTTGACAGAATTTGCAGCCCATTGGTTCTTTTTTTAATTGACATTGCGCTGACCCAATCACAAACGTCGGTGTGTATTTATCAAAATAGTCGAGAGTCAGAGAGATGGAGAAAAAATTCAAAAGAGGCACAGAAACATTTTGGGGAGAAAAGGGACAGGCTTTTTAAACACGCACTGCAAAATGTTGCAAAATAAGATTAACTGTGAGCGTTAGCAGGCAGTTTTTGTTACAGGGCTCAACAATAAGGACTGCCCAATGGCCCGGTGACAGTCCGCGAGATGCTCGGGACAGTAGACAGGATCATTACTGGCCTGATCAGGCCAGTGCTGCCTTGCCACTAAAGTTTAATTTGCCTGCTACTATTTGTCAATTGCGTGCAAATACAGTCTTAGAATCGAGAAACAGTTTGTGCTTTTAAGCTTTTAAATGCTACCTTCTCTGTGATGGTAAACACCATAATGCTATTCGGTTCCTCTTATGTTGTGACTCGTCAGCACATTATTTTTTCCGTAACTTGGTAACAACCAGTACAGCGAAGAGGTGGCAACAACAAATTATGATGCTAAAAGAAAATGTCTGTTTTCTAATGTCTTGGAAGCAAGAGCTTATGTGATGTTTTGCACAGTTTGCCATCAGTTTGTTCAATAATTTAAAACACCTGCACATTTTCTATACTGCTCTTTTTGTTTGCGTAACACTTTGAATTTTGCTCATTATACGTTTATTAACATTTTAAAACTCTAGATTCACAGACTTTTTGACCCATGATTTTCTTTTATACGAGCTGTAATTTATTAAGACAGTCACACAATTTGAAATGTAAAAAAATAATTAACAACACAGCACTTTTTATAATAAGAGTTCCATGGAAGACAAAAAAAAAGTTGAATTATTTATAGGGCTGCACAATGCTGGAAAAACATGCCATGTTGTTAAGTATTGCAATAATGATATTTCTCAAGATATAATAAAATGGTATTTCTATTTTCTGTTTTAAATCATTTATTTATTTACTGATCAAAATATATTATTCAAATCTAATTAATCCAAATTCAGACTAAAAAACTGTGTCAAGGTGCATACATTTAGTCCTTAAAACTCTACAAATGTGTGAAAACCTCTGCAGATATTTTGACTCTGATCAGCTGTTGTCATTTTCCTCTCTAAAGGGAATAAACAGCAAATGCATAAAGCAAATTTATTTTAATGAATCATGGCTTTAATTTATAAAATGTCAGGGATATGTAAAATATTGCATATACTATGACTGCAATAACATTTATTTTCCGATATATGGTGCAGCTTTGATCTTTTACTGCATGTTTTAACTTATGCCAATACTAATTATATTCATTTTTCTCACGTGTGACAGTAAAAATGCAACAACATGCATTCAGCCAACTGAATACATTTCTGTTCTGCTTTTCATTTGGTTTGAGATTCAGCGGAACAGCAGGGCTGGTGTCTGTTAACAGCTTGAACGTGTGAGATGAGTGTCAGAATTAGGTCAAGTTATGGGATAAACCCCTCGTGAGCCCCTATTTACCCTGCAAACATCCGACACAATCAGCTTTTTCAATACTATACCACTAATAACCTATTATAACCATCCTAGTCATGTCAGTGATATCATAGCCAGTCGCACGATCCCATTTTGAAATCGCAGTCATCATGAAATGGTGTCCACAACCAATTTTTGTTGGATAATCTTATAGCACAGAACATTTGTAAAGCTGCTTTGGAGCAATAATTGTTTACAAGCTAACTTGAATTGATTTGGTTTTTACAAGTTATACTGAGCTGGACTGGGTATCCCATAATGCAACGCCTGATTTCATTTTGCATGTTGGGAATTTTGCCAAACATCTAACTGAGATGTCTTTCATTAGTTGTAATGGCAAACAGACTTGCGAAAAGTATTTTATATAATCGATTTATAGCACAAAATGACATTTACAACAATAGTAATCTGCTGCATTTCGTAGCGTTCAGCAAGAAATAAATCGTACTATGGGACTTGTTTTAACTTGCCAGGAATGCACTGGATCATTAAATCTAGACTATAAGTTGCTAGAATGACGAGTTTTGTTGGGGAAGGGGCAATTAAAATACATTCGATACCACTACAATACTAAAACCTGAGATGTGTTTTCTTTGTGACTTTATTAGTTTTGTGTACAGATGAAAGCTGTCAAAACAATCTCCACTCACAGTGAATCTGCGAAATTAGCTAAAAATACTGTATTATGGTCATCTTTTGGTCATTGTATTTTCATTTCAGAAACCGGAAATTAAAAAAACGAAAAACAAGTCGTTTTTTGATTTTTGTTTTAAAATTCAAAAACAAATATTGAAATTCGAGGCGTTTTTCTTTTTCATGATGAAAAACGAAAAAGCAAAATTCAAAAATGATTAGATTTTCATCTATTATTTTGAATAACAAAAAATAAAATCGTCAAAAACGAATAAAGACTTGTTTTTTATTTTTCGAAACCAGGCCGACTCAATGCTGCCAAGCTAGTCTACTGTAGGCTATTTTCCCACTTAACAATGTTATAAAAGGTATTTTCATGTGATAACGGGATTTTGTTGAGACAAATTTTCCTCATTGAAGCAGGTTATATATATATATATATATATATATATATATATATATATATATATATACTATTGTATTATAATAATATATAATATATAAATATGTATACTTCTAATATAATTATATAATAATATATATTATTATTATTTTATTATTATAATTTTTACATAGCAGCATTTTAAATGGAACAGCATATTTGACAATATGCATTATTTGCATTGCTTTGCTGAACAGTTTTTACTTTACTGAACCTTTTTATAACAATATTATGTGGAAAAAAAGCATTGCGTCACCGTGAATGAGCCGGCCTGGTTTCGGAATATAAAAACAAGTCTTTATTCGTTTCTGTTTTCTTGGGATTTTAGTTTTTGTTATTCAAAATAAAAGATGAAAATCAAATCAATTTTGAATTTTGCTTTTTCGTTATTCACCATGAAAAGGAAAAATGCCTTGAATTTCAATACTCGTTTTTGAATTTTAAAACGAATATAAAAAAAAAAAAAACGGTTCATTTTTGTTTTTCAATATCCATTTCTAAAATAAAAACCCAATGACCAAAGAATACACTGACATTTTATGCACGGCAGACCAGAAAATGCAAATATCACTTTGTAAAGAAACCCTGTGATTCTGTACATATTCTGTAGTTCTACAGTGTAAAGTGTGGACTGAACATGCAATATGCCACCTTTTTTTAAACAAATAACACTTTTGTAGATTACACACAATACAATAAACTTGTCATTTGAAATCCATTTTTAATCATTTATATTTCAGCCCCCCAAAACAATGTTGTTTCAGTTCAGCTTTTAGTAAAATCACTCCTAAGAATGGCAATGTAAATATCACAGTAATGACAGCAAATTATTTTTTTCAATCAACTAACCATCTGTAATTGGATATTTTTAACATTGCACAACAAATATTTATTCAAATTCAAATAAATAAACAAAATGTACAAACTACAAAGTATAATATAATTTACTTTTTTAGAAATACAATTTTTAAATATGGGTAAAATATCCAGTAGCAAATAATATCTTGATTTCTAGCTGATCATTTGTAAAAGTGGCAGAAGGTAGATTTTTCTGATTAATCACGTTGAACTGCATCCCAATCATCACAAATACTGCACAAGATCTTTTGGAATCCACATAGAACCAAGATTCTCACAGAAATCAGTCAAGTTTGGTAAAGTAAAAACCATGGTTTGGGGTTACATCCAGTATGGGGGTGTGCGAGAGATCTGTGTGGAGTGGATGGCAGCATTAACAGCATGAGGTATCTTCTCATACTTCATCCTCCACATCATAGTTCCTGAAAGCAAAGAATGTAAAGGTGCTCCAGGATTGGCCAGCCCAGTCACCAGACATGAACATTATTGTGCATGTCTGGGGTAAGATGAAGGAGGGGGCATTGAAGATTTAATTAATTTATTTGAGTCATTGCAGAGATGTATGGATGCAGTTGGCCAAGCTCATGGGAGTCATACACAGTATTAATTATGTTTCCACTGCACCATGACTTTATATTCTATACTGTAAATTATTTCTGTTAAGTAACAAGACTTTTGTCTATGTAAAGTCAAACCGTACTATCTTAATTTAATAATTAAAAATCAAGGCATGATCATATTTTATTT